AGTTTGGTTTTAAGTTTCAACTTATTAGCTAAATAAATTTCCTATTATTTCTTCAAATATAGACACACCTTATTCTTCTGTACCGGGCAAGGTATATGTATGCTTTAGGAATAGCAGCAGTATTTCAAGTAGTAAAGGGTAGTTGGGACAGCTGTTGTTGAATTTGAGTGGCCGCTTTTAGTATGGTGGCGAAGAGGAAGAGGTTGGGGGAAAGTTTGAACATAGAAGGTTTTAGTTCCTTGAGCTTCATTTTCTCTTCCTTATTTTTATGCTGATTGTGTCTGTTTTTCCTGCCCTGTCAACAGACTGCTTCATAAGGTCTTAGGAATTTGACTTACTTTATTTACTCCTGTCAACAAAGTTGGAGGCTGAGTTATGTGCTCACTCGGAAAATGATCCTTCAGATTCTTGCCTCTGAGCTTTCTAACCGAGGCAGAGAGTAAGTAGGTACTGTGCTGTATGCAAATACACACATAGTTGTCCGTGTAGGCCAAAAGGAGGAGGCATGTTGCCAAATGCCTTTAGAACAAAAACTTCTGAGATGGGATATTTCATAGCATCACTGAAAATAAGCTTTTAGAAAACAAAAAAGTACAGAAGAATAGTTATCTATGAAGTAAGTTGGGGGGGAGGAACCACACACAAAACATCGCTAATACTTCAACAGTGAGTTCACCTCAAGCATTTCATGAATTTCACATGACCCACCCACTTTTTCTCAGTACCTCTGAAGATTACCATATCAGCAGCAATAATACTCTGTTGTTCCAGGGCCAGATTTACATCTCAACGTAGCCCTGGCATTCCTGATTGCAGAATACTGTACTGTGTGCTGCCTCCTTTCTGATTTCTATTATAAAGTTAATTTATGTCCCTTTACCCTATTCTCTTAATCTCAGGCCATCCCTTACCTCTCTAGAGCCAGGGATGTTTTTTTCCTTTATGTAGTTTTTTTTTCCTTTCCTTTCTCTTCTTTGTCATGAGGCAAACTATCTGCAAATTCATTCTACAAACATTGTTATATTTTAATGTCTTTATCACTCAGCACAGATGATCTCTTTGAAAAGACAAGCCAGGGACAAACACATAATGAGGCACCTTTTCTGGCACAACTCTCAGATATTTTTTCCCCAAATTTATATTTGTATGGGAAGGTGGTCAGAAGTTAGAAATTTCATGGCTACTTTACTCTCTTTCTTGGTAGGCCTTAAAAAAAAAAAAAGCTGCTGTTTTGAGATTGTATTGGAGATGAGTTTAGCAAAAATTTCCATGCCAGAATTGCATCAGAAAATTTTCATTTCCAATGGAGTGTGGAACAGGGTGGGGTGCTTTTAAAGTTTTCATACTCATATGTGTCAAATTTAATGGAAAATCAGCCAGAGCCTAACGAGCTATTTAAAGGAGCTTTCTTTCTTTTTTTCTTACATTCCTGTAGGGATATGGGCCCAAAAAAACTCATGAGGTTCAGGGAATAACTTGTTCTTGTTGGTTCTGCTTATATACCTGTGCCCCTCCCTGTCTGTCTCTCTCTTTGTAGTACTGGGGATTGAACCCAGGGCCTTCTCACTGCGATACATCTCCTGTCCTTTTTTAAAAAAAGTTTTCAGGCAGGGTCTTGCTAAATTGTTCAGCTGCCCAGGCTGGGCTCAAACTTGCAATCCTCCTGCCCCTGCCTCCCACACCACTGAGATTAAGACTTGTGCTACCGAGACCAGCTGACACCTGTGCTATTAGCCTGGAGGTGAGTGGGACAGGAGATGAATATGTAGAGAGAGAAAGAAAGGCATGGAAGGTATGCAGACAAAGGGCGGGGTGGGGGGTGTGCATGCATGCACACCACATTGTTTGGGACCTTATTACCAGAAACTGCAGCAGCAGAAGGAAGCAAAGCACACGACAGGACAACAGTGCCTCTGTGTGGGTGTCTGGGAGTATATGAGATGCGCTTGTGTACTAGAGGGAGTGAGGGAAGGAGAAATGTATGCATTTTTCAAAAGGAATTACACGCGTTGGAGGTTTCTTTTGAGAATATAGAAAGGAAGGATTGAGAATCATAGATAGAAGAGTATGCCTAGGATCCTGACCGCACATTCTTCTAAATTTCCCCCAACTTGCTAAGACAGATGTTTGCTGTGTTCAGTTTCCCTTTGCCCCAAGCCTGCCTGATGCTTGGTTCTCCTTACCCACTAGAAACATCCCTCTGACTTCATTAGCATATGGATTTCACATTTGAGCTACATTATCTGTATCTTGTTTAGAGAGTGATCTTAGTCGTGAGTGCATACTTCCCTGATCTGGATTACAGAGTTTTTAAAGATTCAATTTTTAAAACTGAAGTTCTCTCTTCCACTTGTTTTCTCTTCACATCTTTGTTACCAATTCTGAGCACTCCTCGGCAAATGTTTAATACATTGTTGTACAATACCTCTCCGTAGGATTTTCTTACCTTTATACAGTCTTTTATGACACAATTAGCATTTTTTAATTGCAGTGTTGGGGATGGAATCTAGCCCTCAGGCAGGTACTAGGTAGGTGCTGTATCACTGAGCTATATCCTCAGCCTAGAATTTATTTTTTAAATTAAAATTTGTCTCTTAAGTTAAAATTCTCCGAGTCTGTCTGTCTGTCTGTCTGTCTCTCTCTCTCTCTCTCTCTGACGGTACTTGGGATTAAACTACTGAGCTTCAGTGTAGCTTCACATTGAGCTACAACCCAGCCCTTTTAAATTCTTTTAAATTTTGAGGCTAGGCTTGAACTTGCCATCTTCATGCCTCAGCCTCCAAGAGTGCTGGAATTACAGGTGTGTGCCACCATGCCTGTGCCCCCCTCCTGCCACTTCTAGTTCTGGGGGTTGAAGTCCTGGTGGTTCTACCATTGAGCAAGACCAAGTCCTATGCTTTTTACATTGAGCAGATTTACTGTTTTAAAAATTGTTAAATTCTATTCTATGTAAAATCCCAAATGTGCAGAAATAAAGAAAACAATACAATATATACTCCAACCCACCACCAGATTTAATATATTTGCTTCGCATCTTTAAAAGCTAAGTGTACAGCTAACTACATGGCTCTCCTCATCCCTTTCTTCTCCCTCCCTCCCTAGATACAACCACTCTCCCAAAGCAAGAATGGGAAAGTGTGTGTGTGTGTGTGTGTGTGTGTGTGTGTACCTAATTCCCCTACATATAGTCTACTGCATTGTCCCTTCTGGTGGGGGGAAGGGTGGTGATTGAGCCCCAGAATTACTCAAATACAACATAAGCACAGCCTGTCTATGGGTCTCCTGAAGGCCAAAGGATGGGATGAATGAGTACTTTTTCAGTCTTTGCAAAAATGTGAGCCCAAGGCTTGCAGAAGGCTGAATTCCTGTTAGCTGAGACACTTTCTACAAGCAGGTGGAATGCAGGAAGACAGAACAGCACAGGAACAGTAGGCTGACCTAGGAAAAGGAAGGAACATCCAGTCTGAGGAGCTGGGTTTAGTAGTGGCTAGGGGGTGTGAATTAAAGACACCCTGAACCCCAGAGGAGGACATGCCTTGGGATAGAAGGTAGTTTTACATAGCTTATGCTCGCTTTCTTCAGAAAGGACAGGGCTGAGAGTCTTTCACATCACCATGAATGCAGGCTAGGGGTGGGTGAGTGCCCTGGTTGGGTCTGAAAATCATCCTGAGTCTGCCAGATATATCACCAACTCCATGACCTGCTTGGGGGGTGTTCACATGAGGCACTGACTGCTTTAGTTCCCTGGACAGAGGCCCATTCAACTTCTCTGTGACTGCTCCTCCTCAGTTTAGAGTTGCCAGATAAAAGAATGCTCAACCACATTTGATTTTCAGGAGAACAATAAATAATATTTTAAGTAAAACTATCTCTCAAATATTTCATCAGGATATACGTCTACTAAATGGGTGTTTATTGTTTAAAATATAAACCTGAGTGTCCTGTATATTTATTACTAAATCTGGGAGCTCTATCTCAGCTGAATTTTGTAAAAGTTAGCAAAACCCACTAGGAATCTTTGAAAAAGTATGAGCTCAAGGCTTTTCAGGAGCAACATCAATAACTGCCTTTCAGTTGTGCAACCATCACCCAAATCAATTTTCGAACCACCTCAGGACAAGTATCCATTAACAGTCATCCTCCCCATGTACCCCAATTCCTCAACCTCAGAGCTTGTTAAGCATTAATAGACTTTGACCCTATTTACATGCTTACTTTGAACATTTCTTTATAAACTGAATCATACAGTATGTGGTCTTTTGTGTTTTGCTTCCTTAACACACTGTTTTCAATGTTTAAACACATGGTAGTGTGTAGCTGTACTTTACGTTTTTTGAGACATAGTCTTCCTGTACCACTCAGACTGGTTTTAAACTCCTGGACCCAAGGGATCATCCCACCTCAGCCTCCTGTGTTTCTAACGCTCAAATATTCCTTTACAGTATATGTAAAATTGGTCCCATTCCCTGCTGATGTACATTTGAGTTGTTTCCACTTTTGCCCATTATGAATCATACTATTAAGAGAGAATATTTTTGTACAAGTTTTTTCATCATTAAACTTTCATTTCTCTTGGATATATCCCTAGGAATGGTAATATGGTAACCCTTTAGTATTCTGAGGAATTGCGAAATTATTTCCCCCCAAGAGCTTAATGTTCTTATTAAAAAACAAAAACACCTGGATTCAGTGTTTCCGCAGCGTCCCACGGAAGGGCTGCTATCACAGTCCTACGCTCCCTCTTCTGAAGTCAGGGCTCTCAAAACCAAAACATCACACCAGGCGCTGGAAGGAAAGCGCAGTTTCGCCTCCCGCTTGGCCCCGCCTCCTAGCGCTTGCTGACCACAGAAAAACCGACACCCCCAGCAGAGGCCATCTGGACGTTGTAGTTCTCTTTCCGCACACCTTCGCAGAAAGTGTGGAAAAAAGCCTACAATCCCCAGAATGAACCTGTTCTACGGCGGCCGACTGGGCCATTCCGCGTGAGGCACTCCCGCCCTCTTCAGTCTCGGCTGTTCTCCAGGGCGTCTGTAAACACCCCAGAGACTGTCATGGAGAGGGAGGCGGCGGCGGCGGCAGCGGCGCAGGGAGGCGTTTTGGGCCACTTCCAGGGCCCGTGCTGCCATTCCTGAACCGGTCCCCGGACCCCGTGACTGTGGCATCAGAAAGCTAACTGTTAGGCAAGAGGAGGCAGCAGTCAGAACCCTATCCCCTTCTTCCCGGGGTGGGGGCCGGGCCGGGCCGGGCCGGGCCGGCCTGTCTGCCGAGATGGATGACAGTAAGGTAAGTCTTGAGGTTTGCACGCGCAGCTGCCGTCGCCGCCGCCGCCGCCGCCACCGCCTGCTTGTCGCTAAGTGCTAGTCCCACCGCTGAGCCTCAGCGTGAAGTCCATGCCAACACCCAAGAAACACCTGCCCTAGACATCCCTGCGCCTACCCAGTTAGTGCCCGTTGGTACCCAACCCGAACTCCGGAAACACCGGGGCTGCATTTTTCCTGAAAGGGGCCTCTCTTCTGGAAAATTTTCACTCTTAGGGCACCCCTGTTTGCCAGCTTTCCTATGGAGTACAAACCCTCGTCCTTGACCTGCCTAGTGAGATAAGAAACTATCGTGCCTTTTCTTTGTGCCCTTTCTTCTCTTCCCATGCCGTCTCCAGTTTTGCAGACCTGAACCAATGCACCTTTGAACCAGTCCAGTTCCCCTTGACGATTTCCTTTTCTCTTGGGATTCCTCACTCAATGCCCCATTCATATAAGTTGTTCACTCCCCTTCTGAGCTATTTTCCTGTGGTTGGTTGAAACATTGCTAAGCTCCCGTTGTTATTTGTCCAGAGGCTGAACCTAAATCTCCTCTAAAAGCCTTCTCTAAGGAAAATGGTGAATTTCTTCTTGTTAATGTACCTTAATATTAATTTCTATCACACTTTTCTTGTCCAGTGCATCTAGATAGTGTGCATTATTGGCAAATTCATATAGCTGATCTATGTATAGCCTATTTTTGTTTTTAGATCTGCCTACATTAATGTTTAGTTTTATCCCATGAAGATAAGGATAGTCAGAGACTTGCTTACTGATGTTAAAGAGTTAGGCTTTCTTAAGGAATCAAACTTTTAAAATTTGCCGATTTTTAAAGTAGAAATCATACCTCCCCTCGGCTTTTCAAAGTCTACTTTTCCATAGTTTCTGGCATACTCTTTGGGAGAACTTTGCCCTTCGTTTAGGTGTCCTTTTATAATTCTGCCTAACCAGTAAAGTTTTGCTGCTGCCAAATTTTTGTTTCATACATCCTCAGAACAGAAAAATTTCCGATTTCTCTGTGCTGCTTTGGTCCACATTATCTCTTCGTCTTCATGCAGAAGGCTCTAAGAAGAATGACAGAAGGGAAAGCCCAGTCCAGTATTCTAGAATTAGGCCCTGATTGCTTGTAAAGTAGCAAACCCCTTGGTATTTCTAAAACAGAAAGGGGGAGTTCCCAAAGTTTCCCAGAAAATAATTTTTCATAAAATCTTTGGTAGCTAGATCTCCGTGTTAATTTTGAAATTAAATATTGAACCCATTGTCTTTCCCAGAAAATAGTAATTTGTAGCTGTTTAAGGATGCTGAAAGAACATATTTTTTAGTTTTCTTAACTTGAAATTCCCTACTTAATTTTCAGTTGTATCCTTTTCAGAACGCTGAAGCATTTAACAGCTTTCTTAAAAGTCAGTAATCTCAAATTCAGTCTAAGAGAAGCTGATAGGCTTTTGAAGTATTTACTTACCTCTAAGATCACATAGAGTTTATTTCTAAAGTTAGCAGATGGTATTGAGAGTGATACAAAATCTCATTTAGTATTGTACTTCATAGAGGACAAAGTACTACTGGATAGTAGTGATTGATTTGAAGAGTGGTGACATGAAGGAGATTGCCCAGATGTATGTGAGCTTTATCAGTGTGCTCCAGTTGAACAAATCTGCCAGAGAAAATATACACTAGCAAATGGGAAAAAACAAGGGAAGATAGATTGGGCACCTAAAATGAAAGGCTTGGGAAAGTACTAAATAGCAGAATCAAATACTGATTTACTGGAATAGATGTCCTGTTAGGCTAATTGAGAAGGAAAATTCCAGGCTGTTTACCTTTTTGGAGCTTCCGCTTCCTTATCTTTTTGTTTGTTTTGTTTTTTTGATCTAGGGTTTCACTACATGGTTGAGGCTAGCCTTAAATTCCCTATTTGGCCCTGGCCAGCCCTAGACTTGCAGCAGTGTTTCTGCCTCAGTCTCTCCAGTGCTAGGATTATAGGTTTACAGTACCAAACTCTGCCTCTCCTTCCATATCTGTTAAATGATACCAATACCTTCTTTGCAGGCTTTGGTGAGGATTAGAAATGAGCATATTGCACAGGGAAATAAGTATTTTGTATAGCTAGAGCAAACTTTCTAAAGAAGTCCAGATAAATATTTGTGGGTCATATGATCTATGTTGCAGTTATTCAACTTTCATGATTCCTGTTTATGAGATCAACCACAATGAATGGACATAACTGTGTAAAACTTTCTGGTAAAACTTTACTTATAAAAACAGAAAGCAGTTTAGATTTGGATTTCCAGCAGGACAGTGATTTATGAACTGAGCCTTGAGTATTAATGTGGTTAAAGACAAGGACAGAAAGATAGATATCAGGAGCTAGATTAGGATATGTCTGGTGCAATAGGTTACACTTTGGAGTCAGTCTCTGTACTAAATCAGAGTAAGCTGAGGATGCAGCCCAGGAATTTTGAGTTTAACAGCTCCCCAGCGAGTGACTCATGTTTTTTTTTTTGTCATTTTCGTTTTTATCGGTACCAGGGATCAAACTCATGACTGCCTGCTTGCAAGGCAGGTGCTTATGCTGCTGAGCTAAATCCCCAGGCCCGACTCATGTTCTTAATGAATTTAAAAACCAAGGCTATAGATGTTAAAGGTTTTAAAGCAGAGGCAAAACCAAATTTGTGTTTTTTTGTGTTTTTGAGGCCATATTTGGGTGAACTGGGTCAAGACTATCAAGACTAGAAGCAGATAGTCCTGTTAGGAAAAAATGCATTGTGACATATGACCTGAGTTCATATCTCATTTCTACCTTTCATTAATATTCTGACCATATTATTTAATCTCTTCATAATTTCCTTTGTTTACATATAGGTTGAGGACCTTGTTGAATTATTGTGATAAAAGTATATATATATATATATATATATGTACATATATATCTCTCTATTTCAGAAGAACTTGGTTACATAATGAGTTCTTAATATGAGACCTTTCTCGGTCCTTCAGAAAAAGTCAGATTGCTCAGAAAAACGACCTGGACTTTAGACCATGTTAGACACTATTACAATGTAGGTTACATTTGATGCAATGTGTATAAAATTCCTCAAGGGCAAACAATGTAGAGAAAAGACTAAATGAGACTGAGCTTCCCCCACATCTAAAATGACCAAAGGAGACAGGACTAGAATTTAGCAAAATAAACTGAAAAGGAGAGAGAGGAAAAAAGTATTTAAGGATAGAGAGGTGCAATGTGAGATGCAGAAAAGATCAAGTAAAATAAATAGTGAAAATATCCACTGGATTTGAAAAAAGAAATTCTTCTAGCAAGAAGAAGGGTAGAGCAGCGCCTGGTTCTAGCTCTAGGTACTCAGAAGCAGAGTCAGGAGGATAGCCTGAGCCCAGGAACTCAAGGCCAGCCTGAGCAACATATTGAGACCCTTGTCAATACTTGCATAGTGTATACTTAACCAGTCTACCTAGCCAGCAGAGGCAGTTTCAGCAGAGATAGGGCAGTGGGCAGAATCTATCAGTTGTAGAAGGCCTGGGTGGGAAAGAAACAGAGACAATATAGTTATCTAACTGAATTTGTACCATTTCAGGCATTGCTAAAGTATGTGTAATATTACAATTAGATGAAATTATACTTAGCTCTAGCTTTCAAAAAGAAGGGGCGGGGTGCATTAAAAGAGGAGTGGTATGAGTTAACTCAGGGTAGAGATGCCTACCATCTCTGCTTTCTGTTTCTGACTGGCAAAACTGGCAATAAGGTTAGCACCAGGAAGAAGTGATTAGATACTTTCTGAAGATCTGATAAATAAGAGAAAGCACCTAACCCGTAGCCGTGAAGGAAGTTACAGGAGTCATAACATCAAATAATGAGGCCTTTATTTGCTTTGTTTTTTTCTTTAAAGTGGTAAAGAGCAGCAGCAAGGTACACTGCTCTGCTTTTTAATCAGTGGGAGGTATCGTTTCACTTTGTGTTTTTAAGAAAGATGAAACAAGCCCTCCTGCTTTTTTCCTGTTTTGGCTGAAACTGCTGGTACCACCTACTTCATGTAAATATGGCAATACCCTTGGACTTAACAACCTGCAACTTACAAATTGCGGTAAGAATTAGAGTGTTAGGGTGTAAATATGCACAAAGAGATGGTAATTAGAGTTCTTAATTGATTTTTTAGATTTTATATCTTTTCAGATTTTATAATCCTTAAAACAATTCACATAAATTGTTCTGGGTTGTGATACCAATTTAAATCAATTTCAAAATGCCATTAATTTTTCATTTTATTATTTATTCAATTGGCATTCTGTTTAGATATTTTGCAGTATTGGGAATCAGACCCAGGAGCTTACATATGCTAAACCTGTGCTCTGGTACCGAGCTATACCTTCAGCCCTCAGGTACGACTTTTTTTTTTGTCTTTTTGAGACAGGGTTTCACTATGTAGTTCAGGCTGGCCTTGAATTCACAGGAAGCCTCCTGCCTCATCCTCCTGAGTAGGTATTACTTTTTTCAGTGAAGAAAATATAGGGAAGTAGAGTTAGGAAAAGTGAAATTATACATTTGTGAGTGGCCCACACTTGTTTGGAGGTAGTAGGAATGGAAAGGAAGAGAGAAATCAGAGATTTGATCAAGGAATGTACTAGCATGACTTCAGTGGATGGGTATGGAGAGTCGCAGTAGCAGGGTGGCTCAGTGAAAGTATCTGTTAGTGAACATTCTCACCTCTCCACTTAATTGAGTGCCTCAAATCAAAGTGAGTTGGAGGAAATGAGTGACTGTATAGCATCAGTGCCACAACGCGTGGAAAGCATCTGTCAATTTTAAGCCTTCTCCAGATTATGAGAGAATGTGGAGGAGAGTAAGATGCTTGATATTAGCAAGTTACATTTGGACCAGTTGTTATGTTGCAAATCTAAGGACTTGGGTTCTAGTCACTCTCTGTCATTCAAAGTCTCTAGACTAAAGCGTCATCAATGGAATGATCACATACA